CCTCTCTGTGCCTTAGTTTCCTCCTCTGCATCATGGAATCACAGCAGCTATCTCTAAGGGGTGCTAGGAGGATTGGTGAGTGAGCTCGGCCCAGCCCAGCCCAGCATACAGTGTTGCTTGGTCTGTGGTAGCCCCTCAGACAAGCCCCTAGGACAAGCTCCTCCAAGACCCTTCCTGTAGAGGATTAGGGTGAGCCAGAGAGCTGGGTCCCCCAGCCTCCCACCTTCTCAGCCCTCTGGGGTTGAACTTTCTCTGGATTCTCAAGTTCCAGATGTGGCAATGTGGCAAAGCAAGTATGGAAGCCAGCGTGGAGTTTGTGGCAGGACAGACAGCTGACAGAAAGGCTGGCTGCCTGACGGGTGGTAAAACCACATTTACTGCACACCTGCTACACGTGTTTGTTCTGGTTCCCCACACGGTCCCGATAGAACCTGTTGGTAAGACAAATGCTGTTGTTTACTGTGAGGAGGGATAAGACAACTTCTCAGAGCTTTGGCAGTGATTCAGAGTGGGAGGTAAGGTCAATATTTGCTCAGAATTGAAAGTTTGTTTTAAGGTTGGTCCTTCGGTGTGGGGAGGGAGGGAGAGGGGGGGAGGCTTGACTGGGATTGGGCAAGAATCATGATACAACAGTTAGTTGGTGGAAATAATAAGGTGAGGATTTTGTGGGGGAGAGAGTCAAAGAGTCCGAGGCACACACTCTGTGGTTGGTTTCCCTTGAAGAGTCAAGGGGTCTTTCAGAAAGTTCCTGTAATGAACAATGAAACCATTTGTTTGAACTGGTCGGTCTGGGAAGCTTAAGAAGAAAAAATGCAAATGAAGACAGTGGAATTTTAAGGCCAAGTTCATATAGACAGTAAGGTGTGGTTTCAGGCTTTTAGTGTCAAGGCTGAATGTGGGGTGGAAGGATCTGGTTCTCAGTGGGCTCTTTGTGTCCTGGGATGTGGGGATTACAGTCCCTGCTTTGCAGCAAAGGGGCCACTGGTCTCAGGCCACACAGCAGGATTGCAGCCGCTGGGGACCCAAACCTGGGCAATGCCTCTGAAGCTAGTGAGTGTGCATGGAGGGAAGGGGTCCCAGGTCCTCCTTGTGCTAAGCTGGGGCTTGGATGAGAGGGAGAGATAATCTAGGGAGGGAAGGATGGTGCTGTCAGAAGGAGGTGCTAACTTGGAGGGGCCAGCTGCATGTGGAAGGGAGTGGGTTCCGTTGGCTGGAAGATAACTTGAAGGTTATCAGGAGAGGGGAGGGACATCCTCAGTGGGGCCTACTGTGTCTCAGGCCTGGGCAGGGGCTGGATGCCTCACCTCCTTGAGGTAGATGCTGTGTCCTCATCTGGAGGGTGAGGCAACAGCTCAGAAAGGTGAAAGGGCATGTCCAGGCTCGCTGGGCTACCGGTGACAGAGCTGGGGTTCAGACCCAGGTCTGAGGACTTTGAAACGCACGCTCAGCCCCGCTCCTGCCCCTGGGATTTTCTGTTTGCAGCTGGGAGGTGGCTGGAGGAGGTAGGACTTTGAGCCTTTCCAGCAAAGAACAGGCAGAGAAATCTAGGCTTCCCTGGCGGGCTGCTCTCTGAAACCTTGGTCCTCATCACCTTGGATTCAGCTGGTGTGAAGCATGCTGATATCTGCCCATGGAGGGGGTGTCTACAGGCAGAGTCTCTGCCCTACAGATGTCTGTAGTCTCTGAGTGAACTGAAGGTTTCTGGCTGAAAGACGTTCAGGATGACTGACTAGCTAGCTAGCTCAGCTTGCCTGAACAGACAAGTCTCCTGAGAGACAGCCAGACCAATGACTAACCAGCTGATGGACATGAGTGGGCCTGTGTGAAGAGCCAGCCATGTCTCCAACTGATAGGCACCCAGACCCCTTGCCTGCCTGCTCTGGGGATGTGGGCTTCAGCCCTGGGAACCACCTGGCCTACCTGGAGCCCCAAAACCTGGTTGCCCACCTGGGAGAGAAACAAATTGGGATTTTTTTCCTGGGGCCAGGTTCCCTATCTCTCCCCTCATTCCTACAGGCCACCCAGGCCCAGCCCAGGTTCACCCCCACAGTGGCCCCCTCTCCTGTCAGGGGTAACCCCTGACAAAATCTTCACAGGATGGGAAGACCACATGAAGAGGATGTACTTTCCTGGACTCAGGACCCTCCTTCCTAAGGGAGCTTTGTCCTTACTTAGAGAGTCAGACTATTTGTTGCCAGCCTACTCAGAGGCCTTAGCCCACAGGAAGAGCTTGAAGAGGCCTGGTTACCTGCCTGACCAGCCCCATTCAGTGACCAACTGACCACCCAATGCACTGAGTACTCCCAGAGGCCATGGCTTCCCTCCTTCATCCAGAGGCTCAGGCTAAGGACTAGCCCATGGGAAGGTAGAAGATTCTTTAAGTTGGTCCACTGATCTTCTGTCCCCCTCCCTTCTCCATATCCTGGACTTCTTTCAGAGCCGGGCCTTCTGGTCAGTGACTTCTGCCCTCCCAGACTCAGCTCCAACCTCATCACCTGCTTGGCCTGTCCCTTTGGTGGGTGTTCACTGCCAGTCAGGGCCATGCCAGAGAAGAGCACTGTGCTTCTTCCCCTCATCAAACCTGCGCAAGGAGCTTGGAGTGATGTTGAGGTTAACACTTGGGCTTGAGTCCCTGCACCAACGTTAACCAGCAGAGCTAGTTACCTCAGAGCTTCAGTGTGCTCATCAGATGCATAGAGATAATGAAAGCACCAAGGCCCAGAGCTATGGGGAGACTTTGGGAGCATGGAGAGCATGTGTGTGAAGGCTTAGCTGCATTAGAGCATGTAACCCAGCTTCTGTCCTATAGGAAGTGACCAGTCTATGCTGGTGAGTGAAACCAGCGCATGGAAACGGTCCCATCAATCTCCTCTGCGGGAGTCCACTCGGGAACCCCCTCACCTCCATGTCTCCTTCTAAGTGACCTCCGCAGAGCCTGTCCCTTCGCTAGGCCAAACCCTTATCTCCTCCCTGACAGGTGTCACTTTGGTTTCAATAGCTCCTTGTTTCCCCTGAATCCTTATGCCCCCCAAAGGCACTCCTCCCTAGCCACACACACTTCCATTTCTTCAAGTTCCTTAAGCTATTTGAATAGACATCTCTCCAAAGAAAATACTCGAATGGCCAATAAGTACATGAAAAGATGCTCGACATCGTTACTCATTAGGGAAATGTTAATCAAAACTGCATGCGATATCACTTCATTCCCACCAGGGTGGCCATAATCAGAAAGACACAATAATAAGTATTACAAGGATGTGGAGAGATTAGAAGCATCATACCCTGGTGGCGGGAGGATACAATGGCGCAGCCACTTTGGAAAACAGTTTGGCAGTTTCTTAAAAAGTTGAACAGAGTTGCCACGTGACCCAGGAATTCCACTCCTGGCTATATACCCAAGAGAACTGAGAACATACGTCGACACAAAAATGTGTACAACATATGAATGTTCACAGTACCTGAAACCTAAACAAAATGTGATGTATGTCCATACAATGGGATATTCTCCAGCCATGAAAAGGAATGACGTACTGATGCCCGGGATAACATTATTCTCTGTGAAAGCAGCGAGGCAAAAAAATTACATATTGTACTATTTCGTTTATATGAATTTGTATGAAATATCCAGAACAAGCAAACCCAGAGAGCCAGAAAATAGATTTGTGGTTGTCAGGAGCTGGGGAGGGGGAGCACTGCTAACCTGTATGGGGTTCCTTACTGGGATGGTGAAAATGTTCTGGAATGAGTGGCGATGATGTGTGTCCTTTTTCATATACCCAAACCTACTTAATTGTGTGCTTTAAAAGGGTGGGGTTTATGGCATATGAATTATACCTCAGTTGAAAAAAATTCCTCAGGCTCCCAGGTACCTTGTGTGAGGAGCGCAGACCCTTCGCCTCTGTGGGCCCTCCCTGAGTTTGCCTTCGGGGTCTGGAGGTGGAGAGTCCCCATGTCCCTGCCTGGGTCAAGGGTGTCCTTCCGTCCATTTCCAGGCTCCAGAAGGAGCTTGTTGAATGAGGGGAAACTCCTATCAGGTTAAGAAACATATGAAACAATGGAGGAGGCTTCCACGGGAAGCGGGGCCCCAGGAGGGGAGGAAGGCCAAGGGGTTTGGCCTCTGGCCATTTGAGTGGAAGGGTGGAGTCTCCCGAAGCCGGACTTCCGAGCTCCGCACTGAAATGAAATGTCAGGAGACCCTAGGAGACGCCCCTGAATAGGGTTCAGCTTTGCTCTCACTGCAGTGAGTGGGATACAGGCATGGTTACCATGGTTACCATGGAGCAACCCAGACATGCCTAATGGGGCCAAGGATCCAGGTTCTAACCACAGCTCTGCCTCCTGAGTCATCGCCACACTTGGGGAATTCAGTTTGTCCAGGGTGAAGGAGGTGGTTAAGTGGGATGACCTCTGAGGGCCCTCTTTGCACCGACCAGCAACATGGTTTGGTGCATGAGTTGGAGATGGGGTTAGGTAACTCTAGGATTACACTCGGGGTGATGCCCTCTGGGGGCATTGGTATCTGTTCTGAACTACCCCCAGGAAAAACCTTTATGCCCTGACTATGGACCAAGCCTTGACCCTGCACCTGACCCTAAATCTGTGATCCTACCCTGAGCCAGACAGACCCACAGCCAGACTCAGCCTCCAGGAGCACCAGATGTCTCGCAGCTACAGGCCCGAGCGGGGCTAAGGCTGCATGTCCCTCCTGTCGGAGTCCATGCTTGAAGGGTATGGAGTGTGGCCGGCAGCTTCTCCCTAGAAGGAAGGTTTATGCTGGGAGTGGTATGAAGGTGTGAGACAGGAGGTCCCAGCTGGGATCCGGCTAGCATGGGTGCATGGACCACGTACCCTCTTAGGAAGGGCCCTCCCATCACTGGGCCTCAGGAAGGCTGGGGGTGTTCAGATTGCCACCAACCCCTGGAACACCCTGGGTGACCTGGGGCAGGACCATTCTCTGGGATTCCATTGCCACTCTCACCTCCTGGATGTCTGTCCCACAGGGCCAGTGGGTGAGGAGCCCCAGATACCAGGCAAGGACACCAAGGCCATGATGAACGCAGAAGATACACCTGGAGGCAAAGCCAGCCCAGACCCTCAGGACTTGAGGCGAAGCGTGTTCTATAGCATCAAGGTATCACTCAGGGCCTGCCGGGAACGGGGCCGTCTGAGCCTGGCCGAGAAGGCGGTGTAACTCCAAGCAAGCTGCTGCCTTCCTCCGAGCTTCAGTTTCCTCATCTGTAGAATGGGTGGCCGTGAGAATCAAAGGGATAATCTACTAAACCATTTAGCTTGGTTTGGGGCACATGTTCCCTCCTTCCAGAAAAGAAAGGCTGCTCTGTGGGCAGTGGGGGATCAGGCTCCTTGCCTCCCATTTCCCTAGAGGGAAAGAAAAGGACTCCAGGGATCCCAAATCTGTAGGAATGTTGGGGAGCTCTGGCTCCTCCAGGGGCAACCCTAAACATCCAGGCATCCCCTGGGTGCCAGGGCCTGTTTGGTCCTCACGGTAGCCCTGAGGGGTAGGGACGCAGTCCTTGTTATATACAAGAGGAAACCAAGACTCAGAAGAACAGAGTGAATATTTTTAAGCTCTGGCATAAACACCCTTCTTTGAAGTTAGTTTTTCTTCTCCTGGGAATTCTGCCAGTTCATCAGGAGGGAGGCCCGGATGTTTGGGGTGGGCAGCTTGAGGGTTCGGTGTGTGCAAGTGGTCTCCCAAGGGAGCTCTAGGGGAGGAGTGGGTGGGCTGGGGTGGAGAAGGATCTGGGAAAGCTTCCTGGAGAAAGGGGCAGGGTGGTGGAACAGGGAGGAAGGTGCAGTCCAGCCCAGGAGAGCTCTGAGGGTCAGAGTGACGCCCGTCGTTCTTGGCCCCAGAAAGACCTTACTCTCAGTCATGTGGGTCTCAGGTAGCACCAACATCCCCTGAATGTACCCAGGACAGTTTGTGTAGTTTTTAGACCTGTGTGAGAAACCATGGGCTATTTCAGTAACTCTCTCTCTTTCTCTCTCCCCCTCCCCTTATTCTTGACTCTTTCTCTCTCTCTCTCTCTCTCTCTCTCTCTCTCTCTCTCTCTCTCCTGTGTGTCTGTCTCCTCTGACTGGTTCCCGGTCTCTATTCCTTGCTCCTCCCTTTCCCCAACTCCGTCTCTGTCTCCCAACCGCCACCCTCTCTAACTGAATCCCCACCTATCTCCCTGCCCCGCCCCGGCCGGCCGACCCCCGCCTGGGCCCCCCTGGCAGTTCTTCGTCCTGTGTCACAGCCTGCTGCAGCTAGCACAGCTCATGATCTCCGGCTACCTCAAGAGCTCCATCTCCACAGTGGAGAAGCGCTTTGGCCTCTCCAGTCAGACCTCAGGGCTGCTGGCTGCCTTCAACGAGGTACTGGCCCTGGCGCAGCCACGGGGGTGGGAGTTGAGGAGACTCTCACCCCCATCTCCTCACCCCCCTCTCTCACTAACCCGACCTAAACCCTTCCCGGCCCGGTGCCCAGAGGCCACCCTGCCACAGCTTCCTCCCCAAATCTCCTTAGCCAGCTCCTTCTTCGTGTCCTGGTAGAGAAACTGACCTCTGCCCCCTTGTGAGGACAGAGGACAGCACGGGCAGTCCTGCCCTTGGGGCCACTCTAATGGTTGGGGTGTGGGGTATTGTAGAGCTGGTCAGATTTCCCATACCCACCCACTTTCCCTTTGGTTCCTTTGTGTGCCTATTGCCTGTCCCAGGGAGGAGTCAGAGGAAGTCACTTCAATAGTAGTGAGATAGACTTAAATGAGATCAAAGGCAGAACTTTGGGCGCAGTGGGTGGTGGCGGGAGGGAGCGATAGCATGGCATGGATGTTTTCTCAAGAGTTGCCCGGAGATCCCTAAGTCTGGAGCCCACAGCCAAGTGGGGAGAAGTGGACAAGCTGCTTTGGGGGGATTTAGAGATCAGGGTCCAGCTGTGCCCCAGCACCTGCCCCCCCACCAGATGTTTTCCACCTCAGAGAAGGCCACTGTTGGAGAACTCTTTCTTCCCTCCCCACAGCAGATTTCTAGGCAATTCTCTCCCCCTGGCCTGCCAACGACACAGCACCCCCAGATAGTCCTCAGACCCCACCTCCAGATCTCAGAGGTGGGAAGGAAACGTCATTACCTAGCTCTGGAACCTTGGGGAAGTCACTCCCCACCTCTGGGCCCCAGTGTCCCACCTATAAAATGGAGAGTGGCTATCCTTCTCGGGGTTGGTCCTCCTACCAGCCCTCTTGTGAATACTGCCCGCCTCCAGCAGCAAGGAGCCTGGGGCTCGGGGTGAGCACAGCAGCCCAGAAGCAGTGGGGTGGGCAGCCTGCCCCTTCCCTGCGAACTCTCTAGTCCCCTCCAGTGCCCACATCCTCAGTGTTTTATTCTAAGGCTTCAAATTCCAAACCTTAGTCCTCTGGCTTTAGATTTTATTTGTTTGTCTCAATCGTGATGTCCCAGAAACTTAAAAACACTTCCCTTGACTCCTCCGTGTTCTAACATGGGGTCCAACCTGTTGCCCAGAATGAAATTGAACTGCTAGCCTTGTCCACACTGCCCTCATTTCTCTCCCCTAATGGGGGCCGTGGGGCCCCTCCTAGGAGGACCCAGATTCTGCATTAAGAGGGGCCCAGATGATTGTCATTCTGTCAGCTAGTCCTTTCGACTGAGGGGAGCACCAGACTGGTGATAGAAACAGGGGTGGTTCTGGTCTCTGTTGGCTCTGCTGCACTTGAATGGGTCCCCTCATCCCTTGGCAGGTGGGGAACACAGCCCTGATTGTGTTTGTGAGCTACTTTGGCAGCCGGGTACACCGGCCCCGACTCATCGGCTACGGGGCTGTCCTTGTGGCCCTGGCAGGCCTGCTCATGAGTCTCCCACACTTCATCTCGGAGCCATACCGCTACGACCGTATTAGCTCCGGTAAGAGAAGGAGGGCTGGGCTGGAGACGCACGCCGGGAGCCGCCTTCCCATGCACCAGGCTCCATTCCCGGGCCCATGGGTCAGGATGGGCCCAGCTCCCCAGGGCACTTGCTGGTCCTCCCCGCTCCCTCGGTCCCAGCCTGGGCGGGTCCTCCTGGCAGTGCTGGGGAGTGGGGGAGTGGGGTGGTTCTGGGGCAGAGGGGTGTAACCCTCTGGGCCCCCCTTGGTGAGGGCCTGCTTGTGTGTCACTGGGTTTTTAAGGTGGGGCGAATTCACAACACAGCCTACTTTAGGGCCTGGCATACAGTGGGTCCTCAGGAAATGTTTGTGGGATAATAATAGTATCACGTACCACTTCTGGTATACCAGACGCTCTTCTAAGTACTCTGTGTGTATTAGTGCGTTTAACCGTCTCAAGAAGCCACGACATTAATGAAAGAATGAATGAGTGCATGAACAAATTAAAAAATGAAAGCATTTTATTTTATTTTTTATTTTTTTAAAGATTTTATTTATTTATTTGACAGAGACACAACGAGAGAGGGAACACAAGCAGGGGGGAGAGGGAGAGGGAGAAGCAGGTCTCCCGCGGAGCAGGGAGCCTGATGCGGGGTTCGATCCCAGGACCCTGAGAAGACCCAACCCAAGCCGAAGGCAGATGCTTAATGACTGAGCCACCCAGGCGCCCCCCAAAAATGAAAGAATTTTAGGCAGTAATAGTGAAGCCCAGTGAGATTTTGTTGAGGGCCTACTCGGGTAGGTGCCTGTCCCTTGGAGAATGACCCAAGAAGCCTGAGCTTCATTCCTTCAATATTCCATCCACCCATCCATCCACCCATCCAGCTACCCGCCCATCACCCATCTATCTACTCTTCCATCCATCCATCTCCCCACCCATCTATCCACTCTTCCATCTATCCATCATCCATCCATCCATCATCCATCCATCCAGTGGTCCACCCAGTGAACCCTTAGTACAGCCTACTTTGGGTCAGACCCTCTCAGGGAACTCAAGACTCCAGGGAGCTTCCAGCATGGGAGAGGAGACAAGAGGCCAACAAAAACCCTGCAATGTGTCACTTGTGTGAGGAGGGGAGCACAGGGGCCAGCCTGGCATCATGGAAGCCTTCCCAAGGGGAGAGCGCTGTCAGAGAGCATCGCCTCCCTTGCTCACACCCCAGAGCTCCCAGTCTGTGCCAGGACCCGGGGTGGGAAGAGGGAGCAGTACAACCAGCCCCATAAGCTCCCAGGGAGGCCCAGGTTAGAGGCGTGGGCAGCTCTGCTGTAGGGTAGAGACTCCAGCTCATCGGCAGTCAGCCAGAGACAGCTGGCAGAGCCCTGAGTGGGGTGGGGGATAAGGAGAAGGTGGGCATTTCGAGTGCAGGGAGCCGCAAGGGCAATGGCCAGGAAGTGGGAAAGTGGAGAGTGTGCGTGAACAGCTTGGAGGGGTTCCCTCGAGGCCCAAGGGAAAGCCATCAAAAGGCCTGATTGGAATGCTGGGGAAAAAAATACATTTCTGGGTCCAGAATTTTCACTTCAACAGAGTTTTTTCTTTTTTTTTTTTTTTTTTATAATCACCCCTGGACTGGTTTCTTTTCTTTTCTTTTTTTTTTTTTTTTTAAGATTTTATTTATTTATTTGAGAGAGAGAATGAGATAGAGAGCATGAGAGGGGGGAGGGTCAGAGAGAGAGGCAGACTCCCTGCTGAGCAGGGAGTCCGACGTGGGACTCGATCTCGGGACTCCAGGATCATGACCTGAGCCGAAGGCAGTCGCTTAACCAACTGAGCCACCCAGGCGCAGGGTCTACACATTCTTCCTCCGCCCTGCCACACAACACCCCTCTGCCATGGGCGCCCCGGGAAAGCCTGAGCGCAGCCCTTCTCCTGCCTGAGCCTGTCTCGGATGAGCACACTAGGCTTGGTGACCCCCAGGCACCCGGCCTGCTCTGGCATCCCCGACTATTTCATTCACTCCTTCTTCATCCAGCATGAATTAGTTTCTTTATCACTAATACTTCTCTACCAGGCCCCCTGCAAGGCCCTGGCATCACAGGGGAGCAAAAAGAAGACAGAGCCTTATAACAGTCATCGCCTGAAATGTCTAGTAGGCTCTGTGCACGGGCAGCACTCACTCTCCATGTTTATGGCCCAGTATCGGGTATTAGTGGCATCCTCTTTTACAGGTGAGGAAACCGATGTTCAGAGAGGGGGAGATCTCCTCAAGGCCCACAGCTCGTGGGGACATGACATGTCCAGGTGGCTTGGCTCCAGAGCCCCTGCTCCGAACCACTGAATTATTCTGCTTCTGAATTCTGAATTTCTGTAGAACTTCCATTCTAGGAGACTCTTGAGAGGTGAGGAAACTGAGGCCCAGACAAGTTGAGGGCCTCCATCAAAGTCTCCCAGGCTTCAACTCATGCAACCTCGGTTGAAGGTCCAGGCCTTTGACCCTGGTTCACATGGCTTTTTCTCAAGAGCCCAGCTTCCAGAAAAGGCTGGGCAGGCCACACAGAGAAGGCCACATCTACACCCACATTTGGGATAATAATAGCAAGGGTGTCTCTTTAAGTTTGCTTACCAAATATTGGTGAGTTACAGGGAGCAACTGTCTGGTGCTAAATAAAGAAATTCCCCTTTACTGAACTCTGCATCTGTGTCCTGAGCTGTCCTGCCCACCCAAAATGAAGGCCAAGGGCCCTGGAGCCTTCCACAGTCCAGCCCCAGCATCCCTCCCCTGCCTGGCCCTGCCTTCAGCCCTGGCCTAGTCCCTCACACTCTATGAGTCCTCCCTGCTGAACTTCTGCTTGTGCTGTGACCTCTCCCTGGAGCACCCCTCCCACCTTCTCTTCTGGAAAATCTTGTTCTTCTTGGCCCTGTTCAAACTCATCTCCTTTGACAGCCCCACCCCACCCGAGGGCCACGGTTGCCACGGAACTTCCACATACCTCTGCTCAGAAAGGTGGCATAGGGTAGTTGAAGAGCATGGACTCGAAGCCAAGCTGCCTGGGTTCCAATCCTGGCTCTGCCTTTGCTAATTGTTGCCTGAGCATCAGTTTCCTCATCTGTGCAATGGGTGTAATGAGAGCACCCATCCCCTAGGTGTTGCGGGGAGGGAGTCAGATGGTTTACGTACACAGCACCTAGAATGGTGCCTTGCATCCAGAGCACGATGTGTTAAGAGTCTTAGCTCTCGTCATAATATTTTTTATCATCTCGTAGTGGACATGCCACAGGATTTTGAGGCTTCTCTGTGCCAGCCCACAACCTCGGTCCCAGCCCCAACCCCAGCCCCCTCCAACAGCAGCTGCTCAAGCTACACGGAGGCCCAGCACCTGGCTGTGGTGGGGATAATGTTCATGGCCCAGACCCTGCTTGGCGTGGGCGCGGTGCCCATTCAGCCCTTCGGCATCTCCTACATCGATGACTTTGCCCACAACAGCAACTCGCCTCTCTACCTTGGTGAGAACCGGGCTCAGAGGGAGGGCCAGGCTCAGAGGTCAGAGGATGAGAGGACTAGGTAGGGGCTGGGCAGAGTTCCTGACCTCGGCCCCACGTGGCCAGGAAAGGTCTGGAGAAGCCCTGGAGTTTCCTGGGCCTGACCAGGGGAGATGGGCCGCTCTTACCTGTTGGAGACTGGCCAGGCGCTGATCTGCAGAGGGAAGCCAGGGCCAGGGGGCCTAACCCAGGCTTTGTGTTGCAGGGATCCTGTTTGCAGTAACCATGATGGGGCCAGGCTTGGCTTATGGGCTGGGCGGCCTCATGCTGCGCCTTTATGTAGACATCGACCGGATGCCAGAAGGTGAGCCTCAAAGAGCACACAGCCGTCCCTGGGGCCACACAGCTGCTAGCTCACTGACCGCTGGCCTCATAGGACACTCTGAGCCAGGGGGCTCACATCCAAATCCTAGCGATCCCGCTGACCTCGGACGTGCCTCTTAACCTCTGAGCCTCAGCTTCCTCATCTTTGAGACACTCTCCTTCCTGTCCACCTCCCCAAGCTGCGATCAGAATCCAGTGAGAAATGAAGATAAGCTGCAGAACACCACCAGATGGGCAGTTGTCTTGTCTCTGCTATTCTGATGCCTCTTCACCCAGTCCCGTCCCTGAGCTACCCCCACCCCAGCCTGCGCTCAGATACACTGAGGGGCAGACAGGGGCACATACACTCTAGGCCAGTAGGGGGCTCCCATCTTCAGGGGGAACAAGACCCGGGTGAAACAGAGAAGCATGCAGGAGAGAACTTCTGGAGCAGGACTCAGTGAGCTTGGGCCTACTTCAAATGGGAAATTTACTGGGTGACCTCTAAAGACCCTTCTAGTTCTGACCACCTCAGAGTCTGGGAACCTGGGCCGAGTGCCCCGCTCAGGGAACAGCAGTCTCTGATGCAGGCATAGTAGGGGTGGGCCAAGGAGTGGGACCGAAGCTTGGTCTGAAGGCAGCCAGGAGCGGGGAGTGGTGAGGGTCCCCAAGCTCTGACACCCTGCAGGGAGTAGGAGAGGATTCCTCTCCCCTGGAGACTTCCAGCAAGCCCTAGAAACCTCAGGGGACACACGCGTGACTGGATGGACACGCCGATTCTGCTTCCTGTTCTCTGGCTTTTGCACGAGGGTGCCTCCTGGGCAGCTCTGAACAGGACTCACTAGGGATAGTCCTGCCCCACCTTCCTTCCTTCTAGAAAGGGGGGCCCAGCAGCCCAGCGTGAGCTCTGGTTGGTCCTCAGCGGGCCCAGACATGCCCCCACTCCAGGAAGGTGGTGTGTTTTCGGGCTCTGTTGCCATCATCGTGGCAGATGCGGCTCCTCCACGGGCAGATGTGGTGCTCCTGTAGACGGATCTTCCTGCCCTTTCTCTATGAGGGATTTCATGCGGTGGGCAGATCATGTCTGCTGCAGGCACAGACGGGTGTGTGAGAAGCGGGGGAGTTGGGGAGATGCCTGTGCTCGGGCTCACCAGGCTGGCACAGAAGCAGGGGGAGGAATAGCGGGAGGAGGGAATTAGTAACAAAAGCCACCTTCATCCCCAGCTGATACATGTGCTGAGTGCGGATTGTATACTCTGGCCCTGGCCAGGAGCGCTCAGGCCCAAGCACCTGCGAACCAACCCTACTCCTAGGCTTCTCATCGTGCATCCGTGTGGTTAGAAAGCATTTGCGGATACTGTGGCAATTGAAGGAGGAAGTATCCGACTCGGCCTCGAGGTCAACGGCTTGGTTGGGAGAAGCGGACAGGCCAGCCAGGAAGCACATCTGGAATAATATAGTCCTAATTATACCTGGGGAACTTGCTAAAGGGAAGATTCCTTGGTCACCTTCCCACTCCACCCCGTGGTAGTTTTAAGTTGATCTTGGGTATTTTTGACAAGCACCCTGGTGATTTTAATGACGCAGGTCTGAGAAGCACAAAAGGGGTCCTAACCATCAATTTAATAATAATAATAATCAAAACAGTAACAGTAAGATGAGGAAGAAGAACATGTTTAGCTGTATGTTTAGCTGTACAGCACATACTACGTGCTTTACCTGTGTTGGTTTCTATGGTTCTCACAATGACCCTGTGGTGTAGGTGCTACGATTGTCTGTATTTTATAGAGGAAGACCCCGAGGCACAAAGAGGTTAAGTAATTTGCCCCAGGTTATATTAGTAATGGAATTCAGACTCAACAGTCCATTTCCAAAGTCCATAACCTTGACCGCTACACACAATGCCTCAGTAGTCGGAAAACTGAGGTCCAGGAGGGATCAAGGCCTTGCCCAAGGTCACACGGGACGTAACTGGCAAAGCCACACTGGAGCCTAGGTCTCCTGCCTCCTGGCCCCTGGGGCCAGCTCGTGTCTCAAAGGCCAGTCCCAGGGTGGTGGCCAAGAAGGGACAGCCCGTCCTGACTCTAACATCACCATGGTCTTCCCTTCCAGGTGGTATCAGCCTGACCTCGAAGGACCCCCGATGGGTGGGGGCCTGGTGGCTGGGCTTCCTCGTCTCCGCTGGTGCGGTGGCCCTGGCTGCCGTGCCCTACTTCTTCTTCCCCAAGGAGATGCCCAAGGAGAAGCACGAGCTCCGCTTTCGGCGAAGGGCCTTGGCAGCCGCAGCCTCACCTGTCAGCAAAGTAAGCCCCCTCCATGGGCCCACCCTAGTCCAGGCTCCAGCCCCCACCCACCCATCCTCCCTTGTAACCGTAGACTTCATCCCTCCTGGGCACTGCACTTCACAGCTTACAAAGCCTTTCTGTCCAGGCTCCATCCACTGCACCCCCAACAGCCCCGCACAGTGAGTATGTCCTGCCCCTTGCACGCTGAGGAGATTAGGGGCCCGAGGAGGAAGTGACCTAGCCAAGATCACACGGCCAGTGAGGGCAGCACTGGGGTGAGAACCCCAGCCTATCCGAGCCCATGCCCTCTGTCTAATCATCACACTGTCTGCCTCTCTGCTTGTCACTTCATGGTTTTGGTGAGTTCTAAACGTGGTGTGCTGGAGCAATATTGAGAAGTAGGAGGAGGTGGAGAATGGGGGGGGGTCTGAGAAGAACTTCTCTGAAGGGGCAGGATTTGAGCTGGACTCTGAAGGATGGTGGAAGCCTAGAGAGGGGAGAGGGAGCATTCTAGATGTGGACATAGCGTGGACAAAGGGTTCAGCTGTAGAAATGAATCCAGCCTTTCCAGAAGCAGTGAGGGGACAAATGCGTACTGAGGGCATCCTTGGGGCCAGGTGTCAGGCCGACACTGGAGCTCAGCACATGGCCTCTACCCTTAAAACAGGCACAGCCTAGTGGGGACCAAAATTCATTGATAAGTAACAAGCCATGAGGTGCTCGAGGATATCTCGCTGAAACCCCCTGCTCGGCTGAGGGGCAGGTGGTCTTTCCTCAGAGGAGATCCACTGGGCAGGAGAGATGATGCTGGGTGGGGGGCCTCCAGGCTTTCCAGAGGCTCACCAAAACACTAGGCCTTAAAAACAATCAATTGGCTCCAGAGTACAAAAGAAAATGACAAAATAGAAACTTTTATAAAAGTTCAATGTGTCATTAATGTTGACCTTCACCGAATTTTCTTTAGCACTTCAGTCGCAGGTAGTAGGCCCATCCCCAGGTGACCAACAATTTCTGTCCTACTTGGCTACAGATCAGGGGTTCCCACAACCCCTTTCTTGGATTCCATCATTTGCTAGAACAGTTCACAGAACTCAAGAAAGCACTTAATTCATGTTTACCAGCTAATTATGTAATAGGGGATATGATAAAGGATATTGATAAACAGCCAGATGAGGAGATACATAGGGAGGGGATTGGGAGGGTCCCAAATACAGGAGCTTCTGTCCCTGTGGAGTTGGGGTATGTCACCCTCCTGGCAAATGGATGTGCTTACCAACCTTGAAGCTCCCTGAACCCGATACTGTTAGGATTTTGTGGGGGCTTTCACCATATAGACATGATCAACCCTTGACTCCATTTCCAGCCCTTCTCCCCTCTCTGGAGAACTGGGGGTGGGGGTGGGGGAGCTGTAAGTTCTAAGCTTGTAATCATGGCATGGTCTTTCTGGTGACCATTTCCCATCCAAGGGCCCACTGAGAGTCATCTCATTAGAACAAAAGATGTTCTTCTCGCCCAGGAAATTGCAAGGGATTTAGGAGCTTGGTGTCATTTCCTAGCACGCAGGAAATTACACAGATCTTAGGAGCTCTGTGTCAGGAACTGGAGTCAAAGACTATAAACATTAGAAGATTCTCCTAAGCACTCTTATTTACAAGAGTTTTAGGAGCTCTGTGTCAGGAATATATACATTTGCATACATATATTTCTTCTTATTTCACAGGGAAGCAATTGTTGAGAAATCACAATCATAAATTATTTGTTGCTAAGTAATTCTGGTTTCAAAGGGACGATTTGTAAAAAGCCTGTCGAATATTTTGCAGTAAGAATAATTCTATTTAATGAGGCATGTTGGTGCATTTGAATATGCTGGCTGTCATGGGAGAGAGGCCCTCCTCCTTAGAGCAAGAAAGTCGGGGCCTAAGAGAGAGGGCTGAAAATGTCTTCATCTAGAAAAGCTAGAATTTGAACCCAAGTCTGTCCAACCCCAAAGGTGGCTGCTCTATGAACCTCACTACCCATCGCCCACCCCTGCGGGAGCAGAAGTTTTTTTCGTGGGAGACCAATGAAAATTGATGTTAGAACAGCCAATAGGGGCCAGATCAGAGAAGGCTTTGCCTGCTAGCTTCAAGAGCAGCTGGTCGCCCTGGAAGGAGGGTAAACGGGTGTCCCATGGCTCTATCACAGGGTCTAAGCCGAGAAAGGGATAGAGGAAGGGGGGGAGCAGTGGGCGCAGGGAGACTGGTGCAGCCCCTCTGGCTGTGGTCCAGGTGAAAAGTCATGCACCCGCAGTGGGGAGTGGGGGGGTGGGGAAAGGGAAAAGTTGCAAGAGCCACCCAGGAGAGACACTGCCCAGCCCGGGCGCTGCTCCACTATGGGACATTCCGGGACAGTGCGGGCCTGGGCTGGTGCTGGGCTCAGAGGCAGAGGGGGCAGGTCCTGCAAGCGACCAATTTCAGGGGAAGAAGGCATTTGAAACCACAGATGGCCCTTCCTGGTTCTGCCTAGCTCGGCCAGAATTTGAATGAGATAGGAATTCCTAGAACTTGGGGGAAGAGTTCTTAGAAGTAGGGGTGGTCACAGGGGAAGTGAGGAGTTTCTGGTTACGGGCAGTGTCCAGGTTGGGCCTCACATCTGAACAGAGGACAACCACTTGAGCCACAGGGCAGACTAGATGGAAGAAGCCAGTGGGAGGCATGGCTGGGCTCGGTCACGTGGCCGCCGTGTGACCTTGAGCAAGACACTTCCCCATTCTGTTCGGCTGCCGGAGATGCTGAGGGTGGATTCCCGGAGCCATAGGCTGTGTGCCTGGAAGTCTAAGAACGCACGGTTTCTTGAGGCGAAGCTGCTGTGGTAGACATCTGGATTTGAAGAGCGGCATCTCTGTGAAGCTTGGAAACCCTGCTCCCCGGCTGTGAACCTGTCTGGCTGTCTGGATTCATTCTGTCAGCACACTGGGGATGGGGAGTGAGGAAGGAAGGGGGTGAGAGGTTCTTAAAAAAGAACCGAAGGCTGAGAACATGATGATCTGCTTCCAGCAGCTCGCAGGCAATAAATATTGATGTGGGAGGAATTGTTGCCCGCCCCTCCCCCCCCTCCTCCTTGAGCTCTGCTGACTCGGGCTGGCCCAGCCCACTAAGGCCACTGAAGGGGAGGTAGATGGCCTGGGAGGAAGGGTCCGGTTAGGTAGAATTGGCAGCCAGAAGGTCCAGGCCCACAGACATGGGAGGTGTATCTTCTGTAGAGAGTGGGAACAGGCACAGGTGGGGGTGGGGAGAGGGAAGTGAAGGGGAGACTCCTTCTGAAATCCCTTCGAGTATCTTCTCCCAGGCTCAGGGGTCCCCCAAATAGCCTCCTACAAGTAAATGCAGTTTTTAATGGTGGTAGGGTGGCATGTAATATCAGGGTTTTGTGACCCAGTGAAGGTCACTGACCTCAGTCTCCTCATCTGTACAATGGGCAGAAGATTAGACAGGGTCTACCACCTCTGACAGGTTGAATGATGTCTTCTCTAAATGGAGCAGTACAGGAGCCCTTCCACTGTGGGAGAAAAGGGTGCAGTCCACAGCCTCTGCCCCCAAGAAGCTCTCAGGTAACGAAGGAAGGCCAGATGCAGACGGACAGGGGGATGACTGACCGCTCAGGCTTCTCCCATGGCCAGTGCTTAAGAGTCCTCTGCCTGCAGGGAGGGGAGCATGAACAGTCTCAGTCATGAACAGAGAAGATGATGAGATGGTAGATGGGGGAAGCCATCCAGGACACGGAGGGGCAGGGTCTCTGCTTTCCTGCCTTTGGTTCTGCCCATGTATCTGTGACCTCATGGTGGCCACCAGATATCCTTCTAGGAGTGAACCAGGGCATGTGTTAGCTCTCTGTGAGCCTCAGTCTCCCTGTAGCCTCCCTCTCTATAATCAGCCCGTCTCTCCAGGGTCCTGTCAAGCCCCAGGACTCCTAGAACCTGGTTCTGTAGGACTTGTGGAGTACAGATGGCCTCTTAGGGGCTCCCTAGCAGGTCATCTGGCCCTATCTGTCCTTCTGGTCATAGGACCCCATTCAGTCAGCAACCCTCCTTTGCCCTCCATACCCTCAGGTCCCTCCGAGTGCCTGCCCTTGAGGCTGGGCCAGGGGCTGAGAAAGGCCTTGTCCACCAAGAGCCCCTGTCCCTGCCCGGCCTCTGAGTACCACTGGCCTCTGTCATCTTCTCTGAGTTCCTATTTCCCAGGAGTCTCCATGTCTGTTATTCTAGGCCATCTTCCAGAGTCTGGGATTCTAATATTATACAGTTTTAAAGTTCTGTGTTTCTAAAGTACTTGTATTCTATTATTCTATGATTCTATGCCTCGAATGATCTTTGACTCCCCAAATTCATGTTTCTACATGGCTATAATTTTGACCTACAAGTCTAGGAGTCTTTGAAATCTGTTTTCTCCCAATCATTAACCTGATGTGCTTCTTTGGGAGAATGGTCAAGGATGGAGACAGGAGTGGGCAGTGGCAGTGGCCCTTAAAGCCCAGAACTTAGGGCCAGCTGGGGGGCTTCTGTTCTTCTTGGACTTCGTGCTCCTTCTGCAGCCCCTGGGAGGTCCAAGGTGACTCGGGTCTGCCTCCGGACCCCTCCCAGCCAGCCCAGGAGCCCTCATATGTCCCTCTCCATCCCTCGAAACCCAGGCCTTTTGACGCCACCCTCACCCCTCCTCGACGCTCCAAGGTAGAAGGTCTTGTGTGATCATCCAGTTCAACCCCCACTCTACCTACAGATGGAGGGATTCAGGCCCAGAGAGGGTCAAGGTTGTGCCCAGAGGTTGGCCAGCACCACCTCCCCCTGTACCAGTCTGTACCAAGCCAGGTCTTGGCCCCACAGGGCTAAGGTGAGCCTCACCCCTACTCACGGGTGGTGTAGATCAGAGCTTCCTCAAACACTGGGACTGGAAGGCTCTTCAGTGATTTCAAACTGTACCGACAGAACCCCAAGGTGCCACCATAGGGAGATTGAAGAGAGGTGTCCCCCAATAGGACTAAGGACCTTCCACCTCCTTGCACACACACACACACACACACACACACCAATCAGATTCTAGTTTTATGTGTTTTTATGTCAGTCTTTTGAGTGAGGTTTTGGTTGGAGAAAGGGTTTTGCTGCTGAAAACCCAGTTTTGAAAACACTGATCTAGTCCAATACCCCTGTTCGGCAGAGACTGAGGCTCACTAAGGGAGCTGATCGGTAGCTGATCTGGCCCGGGAGGCTCCTCGATGCCTGAGACATCCACACTGGCCTCGGGGGGCTAGCAGCAGGAGCCAGACGCGCCTCCGCACTTGGAACTCTGAAATCTATAAAATGGGTATAATCCTAACATCCACACCTTGGGATTTTTGTAAGAATGAAACGAGGCAAAGTGGGAAGTGGGTTGTTCAGTGCCTGACGACCCGGAGTGTTTATTCTTAATATCTTTCTCTGATCAAGCCAGCTCTTAAGAGGAAAAATAATGGAAAAATTACCTTTTTTTCTAATATTCTTACAGCTCACGCCAAACTCACGTACGGTACTAGTAGGAGTGGGAAATTAGGCTGACATCTATCGCTTACTCTGGACCATGCATTGTTTTAAGCCCTTTGTATGTATTATCTCATTTAATCTTTGTAATCTGTCTATAAAATAGGTGCAGCTATAACTCCCATTTACACCTGAGGGGTCAAGTTACAGAGAGATTAAATAACTTGCCCACAGGGCTAGTGAAGGGTGGAGCTGGGATTCAGCCCCGGGAAGGCCATCGCGGGACCTGAGCCGAATCACTCACTCAGGACCAAGAAGCAAGAAAATAGAAACAGCCGCGAAAAGGGGTATCAGCAAGAGAAGGGGAAACTTAGGAGCATGGACCACAAAGATGAATTCAGTTGATGTAACCGAACCCCTTATTTGGTTCTGGGCTTGCCGGTGGCCACGGGGACACAAGAAGCATGGCTAGTTGCACGGATCTCAGTATGAGAAAGCCGGAGGAAGCGTGTGGCAGTCCTCGGCGGAGCTCCGATCTCCGGGCACTCTGCTAGAAACACCATCTCCCTCCCACGGCGGTGGGAAGGCTAGCAGATCACCCCATCCCTGTGGCCGCTTGTCGTGGCCACGTGCCATGGCAGCTGAGGGCTGGCAGAGACAGTGCCCTACCACCCACCAGGGTCAGCGAGGCTCCGTGGGGCTGGGGTCACGGCCCCGCACAGAGCTTTCTAGGCACCCGGCTTCCCCCGAGGACAGCTCCTGGAGCTCTGGAGGCCCGGCAGGCAGAGGGCCCTTGCACGTGCCAGACCACACACGGCACACTGGGTCCCACAGGCTTGCAGCCATCAGCACATGGCCCCAAGGAGGGGAAGTTCTAACCGGCTCCCTCAGCTCAGGCCTGCTGACCCGGGCAAACCACAGCCAGATGCGTCTGACTCCAAGCCCTGCTCTGAGCAGAGCCACGATGCTTCTGGTTTCCGGAGCCGGCTCTTGGTCGGGAGTCTTCAAAACAGATGTGGGGAGAGAGGCAGAAACTTGTGAAGAGCCCAGGACAGGGGCTCCCAGTACCCACCTGATAAAGCCCAAGTCCCTTAGCATGGCCCTCCAAACTGCCCAGCTTCTGCCCCAGCCCCTATGGCTTCCCTGTCAACCCCCCCGCAACCCCCCCGCACAGAAAGGCCCTCCCCACCCCCACACTCCTGCTGTCCTATGCCCTTGCTTTGAATAACCTCTCCCTTTCTGTCCACCCAATCCCAAACCTCACTTCTCCTGGAAGCCTTCCCTGACCGCCCCCCCCACAAGCCCCTGAAGTTCTGCCCCTTCCTTCCCATCTCCAAACCCCGTGCTCTTTTTCACAGCATGAGACAGGGGTGAGACGGTGGTCCTGGAGGACCTGCCTTCGAGAACCTGCTCTGCCCATTGCTCCCTGGGTGACACGTCCTCTTCTGGGGCCTCAGTTTCCTCTTGCAAAATAGGTGCAGTAATGATCCCTTCCCCAGACTTCTGCGGGAATCAGATGACATGGTGGATGTGAAAGTTTGGGGTAGACCACAGGGGGCTGGACGTGCAGACACTGGGGTCATCCTCACTGCTTACATGAGGACAAGGAACCCCAGGCAAGGAACTCACAGATTCTGCTCATCCAAAGACCGCTGAGCTGAGCCGCCAGTCCTGTGGTCCTTGATAGAACGTTGGGAGGTTCTTAGTTTATCTCAATTTATCTCCTCCCTCCTGTCCTGGGGCGGTATCCTGGTCCTAGCACTCTTCCCTCGGTCCTGGGCCCTTCCCGCACCACTCTCCGCGGCTTGGTTAGGACGGAGAAAGATGCGAGGAGATTCTCCGATTGTCTTGAAGGCAGCATGTCCAAAAGAAATATTATGTGAGCCACATATGTATATTCTAAATATTAACTGGTAGCACATTCAAAAGTAAAAGGCACTAATTTTAATATCTTGAAGTTAACGCACTATATCTAAAATATTCACATTTTAGCATATCATAAATTAAAAAAATAATGAGATCTTTTCCATTTTTTTTTCATACTAAGTCTTTGAAATGCAGCCTGTGTTTGTTACTCACGGCACATCTCAGTGTGGACTGGCCGTATTTCCAGTGCTCAGCGGCCACACGTGGCCGGTAGCTCATGTGTCAGGCAGCACGGCTCTAAGGTGTAAATGAGTAACAGACCCACAGTGCCTCACCCAGGGACTTAGACTGGGCTTTCAGGCCCCTTCACGGTGCTCCGGAAAGGTGCCTCCCAATTCTTCCCGTCTTGCACCAGGGCCTCCGACTCACAGGACTTAGTGGATAAAGCATGAGCTTTAGGCACAGGCAGGCGTAAGCTCAGATCATAGTTCTGTGCGATGTTGGGCAAGTTACCTAACCTCGAAGCTGCTCTGCGCCTGTGTGGAGCGTTTTCCTTCGCAGGTGCCCATGAGGCTAGAACAGCAGCTTGCCTATGGAGCCACCCGCCCGCATACCGGTGGCCTGGCGGGCGGGTGGCTAGGCCCCTGGGGTACTCGGTGTGGACCCCCTGCCCCATTCCTAACCAGAAGCGGTGTAGGAAATCGCTTGCATCGCCACAATAGCCTCTCCTGTTGATTCCATTTTTTCTTCCTAGAGCCTGACTGGCCACACCCATTGCCATTTCTTCATTCTTTCTGTTCATACATAGTTACCAGATACCCACTATTCCACCCCAGGCCCTGTGCTAGGCACCAGGGTTTCAACAGAGAACAAGATAAGCATGATACCTGCGCTTGCAGAGCTGGGAACCCAGCAGGGAAGAGACCCCGCACAAAGTTTGACTCAGTCCTACGTGCATATGTAAGAGTGATTTTCTCTGACAATCAACTTCCCTTCTGCTCTGAATGCCCATCCTGCTGGATTAGCAAGACACTCAACCTGAGCCTTTCTCAGGGATCCCCCACCAAGGTGAAGCAAAGGTCCTTCTAGGGTGTTCAGGCACCAGAGAGGTCTCACCCCCACCCAGCACGCATCAGCATCAATCCATCCAGGCCCATTTGGGGCCAAAACAAATGGAACACTGATGACCCCTATTGCTTTGATGAGGTGACTGCCCCATACCCTCTTCTCTCCCAGAGGGTTTCCCCAGCCCACAGGCATCTTGGGGCAGAATGTCTGGCATCCAGCTGACTGCCCTTGGTTGTGTGTCTTCCCAGGGTGAAGATTCTCCCTCTGAGCAGAGCCCGGGGGAGTCCCAGGAGAAGCAGGATAGCCTTACCCAGATTGCACCAGACCTGACAGTGATCCAGTTCATCAAAGGTAAGGGAGCTCAGGCCAGGATATAGAGAAGTGGGACCAGAGGGGCATGTGGGGCCGTACAGGATCCAGCCCCTTCCTGCCCTTCTTGATTTATCTCTCACACCTACAGACCCCTCATGAGCACCATACACTCCTGTAAGTCTTTTTTTTTTTTTTAAAGATTTTATTTATTTATTTGAGACAGAGAGAATGAGAGAGAGAGAGAGCACATGAGAGGGGGGAGGGTCAGAGG